TTTATTTCCCAGGGCGCACAGTCGTGCCATCAACTTCGATTGGACGAGGAAGTAGAAGAATTTGAAAACACTACAACCGGCACTTTTGATGGTGCGGGATGCACGTTACAAAAGAACTGTGGAAGCTCGCCATCAGCACGCGCTTTGCATTCGCGCACACAGCTATGGCCGCCAGTGAATACTCCCTATAGTCCAAAGTTACGCGTTCGTGCCGTGCCTTTGTCAGTACTGCAGTTGTTAGTGTGCACTTATCTATTCTTTGTTGTTGAGCAAGCACGCCCTTGATCCTTCTGGTCCAAGATCCCGAGCTTAGTACTTTTTTTTTTTTCTTATTGACCAAACCAGAGAGGAGGTTATGACCACACTCATTTTGAGGAGTGCAAAGAGCTATCAAAATAACAATTCGGAGTAAGAACGCGCTATAAAAAGATTTTATTTATTTCTTTTCATTTCGTGACCAGAGCGAATTCTACTGCTAAAGCTATTGTTCATTATGTTTTTCTTTTTATGCGTCGTCATAAGGCTAGAATGACGTAACTGTATCGTGATCAACTGAAGTGTTTGTCCGCCAGGGCCGGACGCTATTGTTTTTTTGTTTTTTTTACCACCTTTATTGTTGTGAAGAGTGCCTCACACCAGAATATTGATCCAAATCTTGACAGTTTTAGGAACGGAAGCTTGGCGTGGGAATAATTAGCTGCTTCTGGTATTTGCCTTCAAAGTCCAGCAGTAGGGAGAGTAGGGAGGAAAGTTACGGCGGGAGGAGTGTGACAATGGATATATTGTTTCACTGTAAAGCTCCACACATTTGACTTTCGATGGACAGAGGGCACGTCCGCGGCAGTACTTCCGGTTGTAATGGTTGACCTGCTCGACGTAGTATTCCCGTTGTTAGTCGACAATCGCGTTTTCGTCACTCAGCACACATCTTTCGGCACACATATTTTTCCTTGATGCTTGAATCGAAAAGGTTTGGCGGACGCCTGTAGTAAATGGACTTTTAAAAGATGTGGCAATAAGATTAGGAACGTTAAGCCTAAGGGATAACTGGTTAGTGCGGGAGGTGTTGTACCGTGTGAGAAGCAGTTTGGGAGGAATCGCACAGAAAGGTGGAGGGAGGTAAGGGACGCTGTCCCACTCCTCCCTTCGTCAAGACTGGTGCTTTGACTCGCAGGTCAATATTGCAATTAACTCGAAATACATTTTAATTATCTTTATTTTTTTAATTTATTCGTCTAATTATTAGTTTTATTTAAAATTTGACTGCCCTGGGAGACGCCAGTGGCTCTTTAATAACTTTTTCTACGACGGCATGCTCTTGTAATTGGAAACTTTTTTTTGCATATACATTTTTATGTAAGAATACCTTATTTGGAATTTTTCAAAGTATTGAATAATTGATGCAAAGTTGATCTCATTTTTACCAAAATAGGGTTTATTCATCTAATTATTTCTAATTTGCTGAAAGATGGCAAGGAAATGGAAAAAAAATAAATATCTCGAGAGAACTCGAGCATCAAACAGCGTGATATCCGGGGCAGTGCGGATAATGTACAACGAAAATAAAAAAAATAAAAACAAAACAAAACACGGGAAGTGGCACGAGCTCTACAGATATAAAAATCGTGACTTGCACGACATGCAAAGAAATACGAGTTTAGTGGTGAGAATGGCAGTGTCGTGTTCAATGCCAGTCTTTTTTCCGAAATAGCCTTCACAGCAGAGAACGAAAACCGCCTAACACGCTACTAGCTTACAACAAGAAAGACGCACTCTCTCCTCACAAGCATGCAGGTCCGGTCACTTCTTTATCAGTACGAAGACGCCTTAAATATAAAGTGTCCAGCGTCATGGGTAATCAACAAATTGATTGGCAAGGACTGATTTATGGGCTTCATAGAGCGCCACCCTGAGCTCTTATTTTGTTCGACGAAGCTACTAGTCTTGAACCAGCCATAAACTTCTTCAAAAGCTATGTGGATGCTTTCCTCCGCAACCTGAAGTGCTTTTGCGATTGCTACGAATTCACTAGTTACATCATATCCAACTGCGATGAGACTGAACTTACTACAGTACACAATCCACTAAAAAGTTGCTGCATCACAAGGAAATAAGCAAGCCGGTCAAGTGACATCTGCCGAGCGTGGTAAATTGGTTACCGTGCTGTGCGCTGTGAATGCTATAAATAACGCCCTGCCTCAGGTTTTCATCTTCCCATAAGTTAGATTTAAAGATTCCTTTCCAGCGATAAGTCTTGGTTTATTCCGTCGATCGGAATAGATGTCCGTGGAACTGTTTCCACTGGCACTGGAACTCATTGCGAGACACAGAAAGTGCTCGAAGGACGATTACATCCTCTTAGTTCTCGACAGTGAGCATCGGCGTCATCAACAACGCGAAAGAAAGTTGCGTCTGCCTGCTTACATTCCTGCTCACTGTAGCCATCGTCTGCAGCCTTTCGACGGGTCGGTATTCGCACGATTGGGATCTTGATGCTATGCGGTGCGCAACGACTGGCTGTTGAACAACCCAGGAAAAGCCATCGCCTTCCACAGCGTTTGATAGCTTGTGGGATTTGCGTAAACGCCAGCAGTGACACCGAAGAACATCATTTCAGGCTTTTAAAGGACTGGTATTTGCCCATTCAACAGCGAACCTTTCACCAATGAGGACTACTTGATGTCTTCTGTTACAAACCGACCCGAGGCACCCTCCAGTAAACTGATAGCTACAGAAACAGTGATTAAAATGAGTGATGCAAGCTGTTCGCGTGAATCTTTCGCTGGGGTTGCAATTACAGGCACTTTCCTCAACACAACTAACAGCATCAACAACCTGCGTGAAGCCGACATGTGCAGAAGCAAGGATGCAGCATACAAACCAACTAAGCTCACAACCCCAATTCTTCCCAGCTACATTCGTGCTTATCCAAAGGCTGCAGCACGCAAAACAGGGCAAAGAGGAAGAATAAAAGGGACGACCAAAGTGCTGACCGATACCCCAGAAAAACTTCCCATTGAATAAGAAACCAATGAAAGGATGAAAAGAAAGAAGCTTCAAGAAATGCGACAACTGTCCAGGGCGGATGGAACTGCTAAGAAGCATCGTAGGAATAAAAGGATGATTCGAGAAGTGTCCAACTCCTCAAGCGATGATAATAGCCCAACAGCCATTCGGCCTGATAAAACAAAGTGACGTGTCTTTTGCTGGCGATGGGGATCACGAGCTCTCAGAAATTTATTGGCAGTCGTCAAACTTCCAAAAGAAAACATCGTCCTTGTAAAAGTTTGTACAAAAAGATCAGTTATCGTTTTCGCCGGTAGAGCGGAAGGTACTATGACATTGTTATCACTTTGAACTTATTACGGAGGAAAGACGACAGCCTTAAGCTCTAGTTTCCGCTTTAGGTAGATATAGGCACCGTACCGAAGACCGACATTGTGTCAAAATTGCGAGAACCACAGACAGTTGAAGGAACAAAATGACTGATATCGCGCTTCACGTTTGACGTCGACCTTTTGGCATATAATATTCATTAGTACTCATTTTCAGTGCAATCTGACATCTTTCCCATTCCTCGTAATTGATGTTCTACTCCTCCCTGCAAAAATGGTGGAATGGGGCGAATTATGCTCGTTAGAAAGCATTTTTTAAACTTCCTATTCGAGTTAGCACACCGTGCTACTCAGCAACTGTGACGAGCATTTAACCTTACATTTAGAGCCCTTCAACGTTTTCCCATGTGAAGAATAAAAAATACAAAAAATCATAAGATGTCATCTTTGGAGTTAGAGTTCCTCTTGGAACGCTCCTGAATCTCGGGCAATGGGTTCCGAGCCACCATAGCACATAAATCATAAAAAAAATGGTTGGAAGCATGGTAGAACGATTGGGTTCTTGCATATCATTAAACCGAAACAGCAAATCACTTTCGTGCCCTTCAAGTTTGGCAAGGTCGCATTGAGCCTAGTTGCGGTCAGATCAAAGTCAGCTAGCCTAAGCTTCAAGCATGTGCTTCAGCCGCGGAAGGTGGATGAGACGCTTTGCATGTGCACCGTTCGGAAATAGTCTTAGACTTCTTTTGAGAGTTAAGAACTGTGCAAAATCCTGATATTTCGCAGGGGTCGCTTACCCTGGTGAAAACGCCATTTGTATGAGAAATTTGTTGTGCCCAATAAACACATAGGAATCGTACAATATATATGAAAACATATAAGAACCATTTAAAGATTAACTATATGAGAGCTATAGGGTGTTTCACGAAAAGATTTTTCAATAGGGTATTAATGAACCCACATCAAATAATGAAAGCTACCCAGCTGGGCATCCACGCTCAGATAGATGAGCTGGCTGGGCTGCGCTTCTGAACCAGCTGACCACTGCTGCCACTGCGCGTTCTCAACAATAAGCACAACGCCAGCGAGAGCATGCGGTGAATGTGCACGGACTCTGCAAAAGAGGAGAAAATTAGGAGCGAAGAAGTAACCTCAGCGCCACGAGCCAAAGTTCTTCAGCCAAGTGGATGGGTGCCGCCATCTAGAGGTTGAACTAATGACTTGTTCAAATTGACCGCTGTATGACCGCGCATTAACCACAATGACTAACGGCAACGACTAATACCGTCGACGAAACGGTGATGGCGACCACGAAGCAGACTTTTTCCAAGGCTAACTTAACGTTTTCCACATTGGCGTTCAGACTGGCTTTTGGGATACTTGCTTTGTCTCCTCCGTGACTCATTTGAATCGGAAAGGTAGAACGAGGGGTAGCGGAACCCCTCTTCTGGACGCCAACCGTAATTCGAGTTTTGGCCGCTGCGTGTAGAGGAGCTGTGGATGCCCAAAACTCTTTTTCTTTTTTTTTTATAAAACATAATTTTAAAACAATTACGTTTAGCTATTTTGGTAGATACCGAAAACCAATGACACTTTGCGTTTTGCACCCACGCAACGAATTACTTGACACTCAAGTTGCGCAATCTTGGGCTCTGCGGGACGCACCTGTACGGCGAAGCGATCCACCAGGAGACTGAGGTGGTAGCCCGAGCGGGTGCAGAAGGGCAGGCCTGCCAGACAGCCGAGCACGCAGAACAGGAAGATCAGAACGCCGGTGAAGGGCCGCAGAAGCGTGAACTCATCCGTCAGACACATAATGAGAGTCCAAATCCCAACGATCTAAAAAAAAAAAAAAAAAAAAATCATTTTGATCGACCTTTATTTTTAAGGTCCTAGTGCGCATGGAATAGGGTATTTAAAGAGCGATTGTTTACAAGTCTTTGGAAGATGGTAAACAGTCACTAAAGGTAGTTAATAACATATTGTATATGGCTTTCCTCGTTAAATTCCCCCCGAAAATTGAATTTACGGTTTTACATGACACCACAACTTCACACAGTCACCTCATCGTTTACGCGACGCTACTTGCTTTATTAGTTTAGTGGAAAAGAGCAAGTCACGTGACCTGATATCACGCGCGTGGTTATGCCACTCTAGTGTCGCCTTGGTGTCCCGTGATTTATGACGTTATCCGACGTGATGTTACGAAATCACGAGCCGCCAATTTCCCTCTAAAGTTTACTTGGAGAGGCAGAGACGGACGGACGGACAAATGTCTGAGATGGCAGTTTCGTCAAAAAGCAGTACATGCTTTACAACTCGCAAGGTAGTATGTACATACATCATGTGCACTAGCACTTCGAGCTTACTTTAAACTGTCAGCAAATTAGATTCCTTAAACGTATCGCGCTGTGATTAACTACAGAGGTGTTTTTCGCGATGGACGTTTGGCGGGAAAATATCAATGGACGGTTTTCCTTTATGAAAGAAGGAAACATAAAAAAACTTTCTGGGGCAATTCACACCCGTTGCTTGCTCAATTGAAAGTGCTGCCTAAAGAGGGTGCAACATGAAGTACGAGAGACTAGATTGAATAGATTACAAATGGTTTTCGACTGGTCGACCTGGAAGTGTTAAAAAGTAGTTTAAGTACAATGCACTTAAAGTAATACTTTAAGTAGGTTTAAAACACTTGTAATTTACTCGACCTACTATGTACTTGTAAGAAACTCAATTAAAATTAACTCTTAGGCTAGTGGGTTATCCATTTCAAAATCGTAACGCAAAAGACTTGGACAGGAAGGAACAAATGGCCGATCATATTCTTTTGCGCAGGAAGGAAGGAACAATGGCCCATCCTAGTCTTTTGCGCTATAATTTTGTGATTGTTATGTACTTGTTTTTACTTAAAGCAATTTTTTTCTGGTACTTTCCGAGGAAAGTACAACTCCCGACTTCAAAGTATATTCCCCATTTTCGGTCTTCATAATTTTTACCAGAAATGTGTTCTTGTTTAACTGAAGAAATGCCTGGAGGGACATTCTACTTTCTCTAGAAACGTAAGCAGACGTCCCATCACTCCGTCTGTTCTGGGGCGACTTTTTCGCAGCTTTTTGAACGCTCGCTACTTCTCGCTCGGTCAGCGTAAGTGTAGAGGTGAAACATATTAGGAAAGGAAGACAATTAATTATAATGCCGAACTTTATACTATGTTGCAGAAACACAAACAAATGTTCGAGTCGAAGAAACATACAACAGAGCAGATGTGTACATGTTTTGAGACGTTCTCTTTTGTATCTTCGACAAAATTTCTTAATTACTTCGCACCAGAGTTCCAGATGTCACGATACGATTAATTATCACCAGCTCGCCGGCACACTCACTGTTTTTTGTTTTTTTCGTTTAGGAGCGGACACTCTTTTACGAGTGGATTGCTTGCGGATGCTACGGTGCTGACGTCATGCTGTCTCTTGGTACGTTTAACCCACTCGGGTGGAACAAGCCAATGGAAGCGGTGCCGAATTCAGAGGTTTTGGGACTTCTGAAATTTGGCGTCATTTCTGAAAATAACTACTGTTTGGCCACTTGACTTTATCCAATATTCGCCTCCATTTCCGAAAATAAGTTATGCAGCCCTCATCCCCCCCTGGGGCAATGCATATCCGTTAAAAAATAGCTGCACAGGATAATGAACTGCGCATTGCTATTGTGTTAAAAGGTACTTGTACTTTACTTAGAAAGTCTATTCTATTTATTGTACTTTACATGAAATACATCGCACCCAGTGTACTTACTACTTTGCTTGAAGTACCTCACGTCTCATTTACTTTGCACTTAAGGTAGTTCTTAGATGGACTTTACCCAACACTGGATTTGGGTCCCGCAGTTTTAAGGCCACGGTCCCGCTGAATGTGGCAGTTTAGGTACTTTTTGACAGGTCATTACTCCTCTTCTTTTGAATACTGTTTTGTGGGATTGATATCGTTTGAAAGGAAATACATTTCTTTTTCATTTGATATTACGTATGTATTGGTTTATACTGTTCAAGCGCTTATGTAGCGTTGCGAAGATGATGGCGCGGACACTCACTTGCTCCGCTAGTTCATATTTTTTGAACGAACTATTAAATACAACACGGTTCCAACAGAGCAGTTTTGTTAAGGTGATGTTGGATAAGAGTGTAACTATATAGATTTTTGGTATTTTCACCACTTTGTTTTGTCCATCTTTCCATATATTGCCGCAAAATTGCAATTTTCCAGCACAAATATGTTTTTAATGACATGCACTAGGGCAATGAAATTAGCTACAAATTTAGTGCTTATAATTGGTAATACGCAAAGAAAATTGTGATGGTGTGCAAAAATATTTTTATTTAGATATTCTATATCAAAGATAGCACTTTCTTGTGCTTCGAGTCACGGTGCTTCAAATGACGTGAGGAAATGATTAAACTATAATGACATCTTTTATAACATTTAGAACTACAATGGTTGCCCAAGAAGTGGACGATGACTTTTTTTTTATTTTCGAAGTCATAACGCTCCAGGAGCTCTTCAAGCTTACCTGTTTTTGACGCATATCTTTTATGGGCATCAAACAGATTTATTGGCATCTAAAACATTTATTGTATGAAATAGGCATACATTGCGATGAATTAGATTTTCACAATGATCTGGCTTTGGTTTCTTAACAGGTGTAGAGCTTAGCTAATTTTAAAAACAATTATAACAGATTGGGTGTTTTGTTGCGCTACCTGCCGGATGCAGACAAAACCGCTGATTTCTAATGTTCACGAAATTTTTGAGGGCGGCGTTTGCGGCTGTATCATCATCAATGTCCGTTTTTGTCTTGGGGCATCTTCTTGGGAACCTTCTTGGGGCACCTCTAAGGCTCGTCGCGTTACGTATAATAAGCACACGCAGATGCTCGACTCCTGTGTTTCATTAGTGGTCCCTGGGTAGCCAAGGCTTTCTCAGATGCCGTCACAGCATTTTTCTCAGACTTGCCGTCACAGCATTTTTCTGTACAAGTGCTCCAGAGCAAACCATTTTTTTTTAACTCATCGTGAGTACGCTATCGGGAAAGTATTTTGGTGATCAACTTTTATTTGCACACGCATGGGCGAGATCTCGGGAACATAATAGATTGTATCGATTCTTGTACATAAAATTCAAGGAACAGGTTCACCTAGCGGTTCCATAGGGACAGATGTCTGTATATTAATAAAGGAGTTTTAACCACCACTACCTCCACCTATTTATTTCGAAGAATACGTCAATGTGCTTAGGATAGTTCGAATAGAGGGTGTTACCGTAGTTACTGAATCAAATTGATCTCGCGTGTGAAATGATGTTTTTACTTGAAACATCTCTGTACAAAGGTGGATATAGGAGGAGGATGTAGAAATCATTTGCATATAAGCGCAGCCGCAACTGACTTCACGTTTAGTTTCTTTTCATTCCGTTCGTTCGAGTACATCACCGTGGTTCACACGACAGCTTCTTGTCTTTTCAGGTACGACAGTCACCTTGTCCCCAACGTAGTCATCTTGAGCTAAGAAAAAAAGTACAACTCTACAAGGATGAAGAACAAAACAGACAGGACTCAGCTGACTATCAATTGATATCTTATTTTGTTTCCACTCAGCACACTGTACGAGCCCCTTCTGTCTTTATTCTTCGTCCTCGTCCAGTTGCGCTGTTTTTACCTCAAAATGTTAAATAACCAACTAGCCATAGCAAACCCTTTATGGAACCCAATTCGTGCATTCGCCATTGCCAATTTCTTTTGCTGGGTATCTCGGTGAGGCGACAAAAAGTTGGCTTTGGTAGATGAAATCTGGCGGGCACGCTGAAACAGTCTCTGCTACGTGCAAAGCACCTAAGACGCGTGCTCTACGCAGGTGTTTAGCGTTCTATCCAGATGTGTAAAAAGTTGTTTCAAAGATCAGCGCTCTATCCACATCTGTGAGAAGTGAATTCAAAGTGACATCACAGTATCCGGAGTGTCGCATGTTGTCGAATGCCATGATCCCGAAAGTAATTTTAGAACTTCCGACAAAAAAAAAAGGGAAAAGAAAAGAACAGGGAATGCTAGGCTTGCTCTTGACGCGATGTCTCAAGTCTTTGCTACGGTATCTTCCGTGTACTGTCGAGCTTGGAGACAGTCGCAGCAGAAAATGCGTCGGCCGTATCCACCCCCAGTGCTGTGCCGCCCCCAGGGTCGCGACAGCAAACAGTACGAGATTTTTTATAGAGACTTTAAACAGAGATCGAGGGACCACTGTTGAGGACTTGCTAAACACACCAGTCGGAAACACGCTCCAGGCACTATGCTGCGGATGAAAAACAGCTTGTTGCAGGCAGGGAGCTGCAAACTCACCGCCTGGTTGAGCCCCAGCTGGAAAAGCAGCAGCGACAAGAGCGAGGCCCACAGCTGCCTGAAATGGAGCTGGCCAATGAGCTCGCTGCAAAGGACGTACATCATGGACGTGCCGTCTCCGGTGAAGATGTCCCCCACGGGCTCCCTGGTGGAGTGTGCCAGGTTGCCCAGCACCGAAAACAGCAGGCAGCACGACACCAAACTCGTGGCCAGGTCCAGCCACACCACTCCCTGTACCACGCTGCACCCCGGCAAGAGTACGGTCGCAGAAATTCCAAAGGACGGTGCCAAGTACGCAACAAACGAAGAGCCTTCTCAACAAAACCGATAGGAGTGTTGGGGGTCCCCAAAACTACTGCAAACGGTTTGTGACTCTGTGACGTTACCTGTAATTTTTCGAGGCTTGCGTTACCAAGATTGCATCTCTCAACGAGGGATGCAATCTTGGTAACGCAAACATTTTGCTTTTCCAGGACCCGTAATGTTCAATCCGATTCGGTTTGAACCGACTTTCTCATAAAACCCTGCCATAAGCAGAAATAAAAGATAAAATATAAAAACTACTTATGAATGAAGGGTTAGTCCAACGAAACCCATAACATTCCAGAAGTTGGCAGGATAATTTGAAAAGGCACCTCTCGAAGGACCTCAGGGTGGCGGTTGACGCTTCGTAAGTCTAGTATGTTAAGATTTTTTCAGCGGATGTTTCGTTAACACACGAAGGCAGACGAAGCTTAATGTCCTGTTTTAAAACACTGGCTTCTTTTCTAACGCTCATCTGATAAACTCGTTGAACGATTTATAAGCTATTGAATAAGCAAATAATATAGGAGCATCTTGCTCCAACGCCTAAGCATAGCTTGGGGCACACAAATCCTTATCTACGCCTCAAGTGCCTGCTGAACGCATGCCACTAATCGGTGTATGATCATGACGCTAATCGTGAGCTTTCGTATAGTATCTTTCTTGGACCATCTGTGCGGAATCGCCAGACGCCTCTTTAGCGGCAGCCTTCTAGTCGAAGCAAATATCCCAAGCCGCAGGTTTCGACGTTTTTTAAGCTGAGGGATATCTGAGCCAAAACCGCCAAGAAAGCAAGACGTGCGTGTTGCGTCATCATTGGGGGATCACCGACCCACGCCCAGTGACGGGAGCGCTCGACGAAAGTACGCAGCAAAGCGGAAGACTCACGCGTATTGACATCGTCGCGTGCCAGCATCGCGCTCAGTGGGAGACACTGCAAGGCGCGCTCGCGGCGATCCCAACGCCATGAAGACGGTGTTGCGTGTATCCACTATGACGTCAGATAAGGAAAGGCGTGGGCCGTAAACTTACTGCTGGTATTGCCCGAAGCCATTCTGAAAGCTACGCAATCACGTCTACGGTCAACACTACCGGGACTGTAAAAGCGAGAGCCGTTTCATCGGTGATCATCCCACTCCAATAAACTCCGAAAATTAACCTCAAGTCCCGTTTGATTGTAAACTGTGGGAAAAAATGAAAGCCGTTTACAACTCCCTGTAACGCCAAGTTAGAGCGCAGCTCTCGAGGAGAAGGATGGAAGGGTACTGAGGGATAGCTAACTTTCTGAGGTCACGTGACCTCAGGCGGGTCGCGTGATCTCAGGGGGGTCACGTGACCTTAGGGGGTAACACTTTCGACCTTCGTGAGGGTAACCCTCGTGAGGGCATCCCTCATGGCCGTCGTGAGGGTAACCCTCGTGAGGGTAACACTAGTAACCCTTGTGAGGTTAACCCTCGTGACCCTCGTAGGGGTAACTCTCATCACCCTCGGGAAGGTAACTCTCACAACCCTCGTGAACCTCGTGAGGGTAACCCTTTTGAGGGTAACTAACCCTTGTAACCCTCGCGAGGGTTACAAGGGTTACGAGGGTTTCTCTCATGAGGGTTACTCTCACGAGGGTTACCCTTATGAGGGTTACCCTCACTAGGGTTACGAGGGTAACCCTCGTGATTCTCGTGAGGGTAATCCTCGTGAGAGTAACCCTCGTAACCGTTGGGAGAGTAACCTTTGTAACCCTCGTGAAAGAAGCCCTCACAACCCTCAGGGTTACGCGCAATTACTCCGACGGCGACGGCGACGGCGACGCCGCTCAAGCCGGAACGGGCGCGTAAGAGCTGCACTCTGAAAAACAAGAATTAAACTGTCCTGACGTAAAAAGAAAAAAATGAAAGCCGTTTACAATTCCCTGTAACGCCAGTTAGAGCGCAGCTCTTGAGGAGGAAGACGGAAGCGTACTGAGGGATAGGTGACTCCTTGAGGTCACGTGACCTCAAGGGGTCACTGACTTCAGGGGGTCACGTGACCTCAGGGGGTCTCGTGACCTAAGAGCTCACGTGACCTGATGGGGTCACGTCACCTCAGGGGACCACGTGACCTCAGGGGCTCACGTGACCTTTGGGGGTCACGTGACCTCGGGGGTCACGTGACCTGAAGGGGTCACATGACCTTAGGGGAATCGCGTGACCTCAAGGGGGTCACGTGACCTCAGGGGGTCACGTGACCTCAGGGGGTCACGTGACCTCAGAGGGTCACGTGACCTCAAGGGGTCACGTGACCTAGGGGTGTCACGTGACCTGGGTGGGTTACGTGACCCCCTTAGGTCACGTGATCCCCTGAGGTCACATGACCCCCAGAAGTCACGTGACTTCAGGGGGTCACGTGACCTCAGGGGTCACGTGACTTCTGGGGATCACGTGACCTCGGGGGTCACGTAACCTGGGTGGGTCACGTGACCCCCTTAGGTCACGTGACCCACTGAGGTCACGTGACTTCAGGGGGTCACGTGACTTCTGGGGGTCACGTGACCTAGGGGTGTCACGTGACCTGGGTGGGTCACGTGACCTCGGGGGGGTCACGTGACCTCCCGGTTACGCCGACGGCGACGGCGACGCCGATGGAGACGCCGACGCCGCTCAAGCCGGAAACGGGCCCCTAAGAGCTGCGCTCTGAAAAGACAAATGAAAGACGTTTACAAATTTCTGTAGTGCCGAATTAGACCGCAGCTCTTGAGGAAGAGGAGGAGAGAATGCGGAGTGGAGGGTATGCCCCTCCTTCTTTTCTGCTCCCCTCCCTTTTAGCGGAAAACTGTCGCTAAAGTTCCCACTAAATTTAGCAGGGAAATTTTTCCTCTAAATTTAGCTTAGAATTTTTCAGCCAAAAGTTAGGTGGGAGTTTTTTCAGGTAAAATTGTTTTCGCCAAATTGTGCGGGGATATTTTTTCTCTAAATTTATCGAGGAAATTTTTCCGCTAAATTTGTGCTAAATTTAGCAGGGAAATTGTTCCGCTAAGTTTGGCGAGGAATTTTTACCGCTAGATTTAGCGGGAAAGTTTTCCCGGTAAATTTAGTGGGGAATTTTTCCGCTACAATTAGCGGGGAAAGATTTCAGCTAAATTTAGCAGGGAACTTTTTTCGCTAATTTTAGCTCGAAACTTTTCCTGCCAAACTTAGCGGAAAAAATTTCCCCGCCAAAATTGGCGGCGAGATACTCCCGTTAAGCTTACACGCCGTATGATGTCGCGAGTATGACGTCACACGTGACGTCACGTGTGACGTCATTATGGAAACATCCCCTAATGCAACGCTTGGTTACGCCGACGGCGACGTTGACGCCGCTCAAGGCGAAAACGGCCGCCTAGGAGCTGCACTCTGAAAGATTAGTGCTTGAAAGGAAATACATAATACTTCTTTACCTGTAGCCTTTTTTTTTTTTAATTGAGTCTAAATGCAACACACTGAACTCCCCGTGAGGCTGCTTCCGTTTTCGGAAATCGGAAGTACATATTTGGTTTTCCTATCATTTTCGCTACGGATGCGTTTTTCAAGTAATCGGGACAGGCTCTCCTCCTCTTGATTTTGGAGAATCTCTTGCCCCTGTCCAGCGGCGTAGACTTTCCATTTCCCCGGGGGGAAATGGAGGAAAACTTCTTAGCCTGCCCCGGGGCAGGCTAAGAAGTTTTCCGGGGGGGGGGGGGGGGAATTTCATTTTGTTTATGCAACCCTTAAAGGCCCAATGGGCATTACATAAGGGGGGCGGGGGGGGGGGGGGCAAGGAATATAAAATCGAAAATACAGAACACCGCACGAAGCGAGAAAAAACAACAAGGAAAAGGGTAAGGGGTGCTTTTCCGCGCAAGCGGAAAAGCACCCCGTCTCCTCCCCCCCGGAAACACGCTGGAATTCTATTTTTCATGTATTTTGTATAAAGGCAACGTGAGCATTATTTTGTGTAGATGCCACTACTATAGAAATTCGTTACATGGCACGTAAACAGTGTCTCGGTAAGGATCATGGCCAAAGTTGGGCGGGGGGGGGAGGCAGAGCCCCCCCCCCCCCCTCCTTCGGATTTCACTAGGGGGGCACAAGCCCCGATGCCCCCCCCCCCCCCCCCCCCCGTAGTCTACGCCTATGCCTCTGTCCCACTTTTGAATCCCGGAGAAATCCCGGAGAAAAGCTCACCGGAAAAGAAGCTCAATCCTTTTCGGTGCAACCAGAGAAAAACTGACCCGCGGGCTGACTCCGAGAAATGCTCACATCGAGATATATTTTTATGAAAGCGGTTGTTATTCTTAGTGCACTCTTTGGTATTTGCACGTCAGATAATGCCATGCAATCTCGGATAACCACGAAACTCACATTTCCGACAGGCACTAGGTACCTTAAACAGTGATATTCTCACCCACTGCACTACACTCGCCACTACGAACTGGTATCGCACCTGCGGCTCTATTAACGACACCTTGCACACCAAATCGCCTTTGTATCTACTCCGTCTACTTCTTGGTCCACAACCTGTACCACCTCCCATCCTTGAAAAACATATCTCCCTAGACGCTGCCGACTCAGTCTTTTAGAGCGCAGCTCTTAGGCGCCCCGTTTCCGTGTTTTGCGGCGTCGACGTCGGCGTAACCGCGCTAAATTTTGCGGGAAAATATACGTCATGGGACGTAAACACCAATTCAATTCGCCGCTAAGTTTAGGGGGGGGGGGATATTCAGTTTCTCCGCTAGTATACACATTCAGTTTCTCCTCTAGATTTCGCGGGGAAATTCCCCGCTAAATTCGGGAAATTGCATTGGTGTTGAGGTCACATGACCTCATTTTTCCGGATAAATCTGGGGGAGAAACTGACTTTGTTCATAGGTGACGTGACATCAAGTCATGTGTCGTCATTTTCCCCGCTAAATGTAGCGGGGAAATTGAATCGGTCTTTAAGTCACGTGGCGTCAGTTCTTCAGCTCGATTTAGTGGGGAAACTGGCAAAGGAGGGGAGGGTAGAGAGGAGGAGGATAGGAAGGTACGCAGAAGGAGAAGGGGAGGGTACGGAGGAGGGAAAGAGGAGTAGGAGGAGGGGAGGAGAAGGATGAGGAGGTGGAGAAGGTACGGAGGAGGAGGGGCATACCCTCCCCTCAGTACCCTCCCTCCGCCTGCTCAAGAGCTGCGCTCTAATTTCGCGTTACACAGATTCGCGTACAGTGCAAATGTGATCCAAATTTCGGTGAAATATTGCCTCCGCATACCAGCATAGTTCTGCATTCCTTTTCAAACGCTGGCAATAATTGCATATCGTTGACATCAGGCACGTTGTTTAATAATCCAATTAACCGATATTGCACACTCTGCCTTCCATAATTTGTTGTGGTATAGGCTTCCGTTCTTTGAACATGACGCAACGGGTACGCCGATGTTCCTGTTTCGTTGGGACTACTATATATAGTCTTTTATAAGTAACTTAAAATAATTTGAAATAGTATACATGCTTGTCGTTTAGAATCTTGTGCTTGATAAAAAGTGGTTCCGTGGTCAGTTCTCTTAAGTTATGTCGATAATTATCTAGTGTGCGTAAAACCTTTTCTGCAGTAATAATAACTTATTGTAATTGGATATTGTAGTTGTACGTGAAATAAAGATTCCATACAACATTTTTGGGATACAATAGGGAGTAATACAATGTTTAAACGAGCAACCTAGACACACGGTTTGCTACTTTATAAATATAGCCAACAGGTCGTGATAATTTTTATTTTAATTGACCTTCCTAGTGAAAAAGCCATTCGTATGAGACATTCATTTTGTCAAATAAACCCATACAAATCATACAAGATATATAAGAACATATAAGAACCATATAAGAAAGGTATTAGAAACTTTTCACAATTTTTTTATATGGTTCTTATATTTTCTTATATATCTTATATAGTTTTATATAGTTCTTATATGGTTCTTGAAGGTCATAATGATCACAGCAAAATGTTATTTACAGAGAAGTCACTACAAATAGAGCTTCCCTTTGTGCCTTTTTATTCTTATATTACTAGCGTTCAAATCATGCCAAGTATTTTCGAATGTAATTCAATATCCTTTTAAACGTATTTGTACTTTACTCGTAATAGCTTGTAGTAAAGTAACTTAAATACTACTCTAAATACAATTTGAAATAGGCATTTAGTATCTTGTCTTAAATACTTCTGTAGTGTAATTAATATAACACTGACGCAGGGTCACTGGCTCTTGCAACAAGCTGGCATACGACCCATTTAATTCTTCTTACACCCCCCCCCCCCCCTCTTTCCCCTTAAATACTTTTGCCGAAAACATTCGAGGCGCACCGCTCTCTGTCTGCATGACCATGGGCCTACATGCTGGACGCCGTCAAATCCGGTCCTTGCACCACTATCCTTTCCCACCTGACACTACCACATGCTACGTGACGCTTCCCATTCCCCTCCTCTTGGTACCTGGCCTTCTCCACCCATGGCAGATCGAGGAAAATTTAAAAAAAAAAACCGCGAAACAACACTAGGCACAACTCGAACAGTCAGTGCAGACCAGGGTGTAAGATAGACAGGTGGGGAAACGGCCCATAGAAGCCTACCGCAGCGCCGTGACCGGATTGTGTACTCGTCTGCTTGCGGGTACCCACGATTCGCGACAGATGGCGCTGCGGCGAGAGGGAAAAAGTTGGAATCAGATTTGCATGGAACTCTATGGGAGAGTGCGCAAAATAAACACAGACCACGACAGTCCTCCATTGAAAATCCATGAGAAACCATCTCTGTCAGTTTAGCCGGTCGCCAACGGTCGCCCATTCGGCGTGGGAGTTCGCGCTGCTCCACATAGATGGCGCCACAGAAAAAGAGAAGGCCGAGGGGACACAATCCGGTCGCTCATTTGGCTCTCGTTTCCCCAACTGTCTATCTTACACCCTGGTGCAGACACTGCCTACATGACACTCCCAGCTTACCACCTCGCAAACACACTCACTGAGAGTCATCCAGCTTAACACACTCATTACTCCCACCCAACTTTCCCTCTATCGTTTCGTTCAGCATTGTGTGTGCTTTCACGTTTCTATGAATTCTAAATGTGTCTTCTAAGTTCGCTGTTGGTCTTACGTGTCAGTGAATATTTGATCGTGTATCTGAGCATTGATTTTCGGGTTTAAGCCTCCATGAACGGTCCATTGTGTCTTTTGACTGTTTTTTTTTTCGGTGTGCACAGTAAAAATGTTCAATGCATTGAACCCTAGGGCAACGGGCCGTGTTGTATGGTTTTTCTCGGGAAGGCTCACCGTATCACAGGCGTTGTGATCTGGTTAAAGCTGGCGAACACGAAGATGGAACCCGTGGCCACTCCGAGTGAAGTCAGCACTCCCGACGTGGCGCCGTGCCATGGTGCAGTCTCCCAGAGCCGGGTCGTGTCGAAGCTCACCATATGGCGGATGCCCGACCAGGCACCCGGGAGCCTCAGGGCGCCCACGAGGAGCATCAGCAGCACCACCACCGTTGACGGGGCTACCAGCCGAAGCACCTGCGACGATCACCGTTCGCTTGCCTAATCAAGCATTTTATTGTGCCTAGATTCGAGTGTTTTCAACTGCTAGATTGGCGTAGCGTTTTTTCTGGGTTCGGAAGCGCCTTCAGGCTTTGCTCAGCCTGTCCGCCAGCCATCGTCTCTCCAGGTGGGAAAGCACGCATGCGCCTGGACAACCAGTCTGCCTATGAGGTGTCTGACGTTATATTGCAAACGCTATGCTGGGTTGAGTAGCTCCCTTTTTTAAACCGAAGCTCTCTAGCTCATTGCGAAATTGCTGGTGTCATCTAGCCGATGGCGGAGAGAGAGGTTGAGCGCACGATACAACAATGTGCACCATTAAAACAAAGGAAAAGGCAAGAAACTTTTCTTTCAAAAGTCTCTTTTTTTTTTTTTACTATTGCGGCAATAAATAAGCTGCTATAGTCAGAAAACGGACGTCGGTGGAGCTCTATCTAGGTTATTGTCACTCAGTGAGGCGAGCCGGATTTAGCTTCTTTGGTCGACTTCGGGGGGGGGGGGGGGAGAAGGAGGAGGAGGAGGAGGAGGAGGAGGAGGAGGAGGAGGAGGAGGAGGGAGGGGGGAGCGTGCGCTCTCGGCGACACGGTCACGCATTGTCAAACTAGAACATCTTTGGCCGTTGATTTTTTTATGATTAATTGGTGGGGTTAGAGTTTGAAAGGTTTAGCCCCTTATCAATACGGAAAAACAGACTAGTGTTTGTTCTTAAACTCAGTCATGCCCTATTATGAACTTCAGTCAATACTACGGACCACTACGTCCATTTAAATCCACTCTATATTGAAAGAAACGCGGGCCATTGTATTCGGCCTTCCTCTTTGCCCTTGAAATATTTCTGTATCCCCTACCCGCAGACGACGCCATTTTCGGGCGCGCCGGGAGGAAAAAAAGACGAGTTGTACGTCACCGCTTGGTTGAGATTAGGGCTGTCAATGACTGGAGACGAGTATCTGCCAAACGCTGACAAAGCACTCTTGCTCGTGTCCCGCTTTTTTACGTGGTTGATAATTCTGCACTACTGCCTTGTTGTTTACAGTCACTGAGGATGTGAGAGCGGCATCGAGGAACTTCAGTTGTCCCGCCCTCGAGCTCCCTGCCTTCGACAATGGTTGGCCGTCTCGTGCCTTTCGAGCACTCGCGCGCAGCCAGAGCACGGCGCGAGGCATGGAGCACGAGCTAGAGGCCGGGCCTTTGAAAGACAACCCCCGCCGTCCTCATTCTTTCGCTGAAAATGGCGTCGTCTGCCAGGAAAAGAAAGAAAGAAGGGTCTTCCTCTTGAAGATGTAGAACCGGCATAAGGAGAGGAGGTTCGCGTTACTTTGCCGTATACATGAGATTTAGGTCCATTTACGGGCGAGTTAGATAAAACGTGGAATACCGTTCAGATACGCATTTTAGGGCGGGCATTTAGGTCAAATGAGACGTATTTGGCTTAATACGTCGTTTCTGCCTGGCCTCTAATTCTCTTGGTGTTTATGCCACTGTGGCGCGAGACGAACTGTAGACATCCTTTTTAGGTTCATGGGAAGTTAGTCTTCGGATGTCGGCGGGGGGCAGATAGGGAAAACAAAACACTAGCTGAGGAAATAGCAAATTTTGGTGTTACTATTTTTTGTGCGGTTGGTGCTTGTGAAGTGGTGATACAAACCTTACAAAAGTGAAGCATCATTCGGTTCAACGAGATATAAATTGACCAAATCTTCAGCCTGCCTTTGTTTTTAAACGCGGGACTAGAATCAATACTAGCTTCAGTGTAATAAACTTCAGCCGGTCCTGACACCCATCTTCCCGTTGTTCGCGTTTTCTTTGATGAACGAGTTTGCAGCGCGAGATACTGTTTGGTTTCCTGAATGTGAAAATACCTATCCTAAAAATACGAGGTTAATTTGAAAAAAATCATGGTCTAAGTGTGAAGTTATTACTACGTATTTGTAATTTTAGTGTATATTATACGATAATTGCTGCGTCATGTGCGAAGTTCCGTGGATTTACGATTTGTTTCTAATAGAATTCAATCCAAGCATTCGAAAAGTACATGGTCAGCACTCACCCTAAAGAAGGATAGGTTTATTTTATCGGCATAAAAATCATGGCTTCCATATTTTGACATTTGGTCAGATATTTTTTTATTTTTTTTGGTAGTGAACGATAAACATGAAAGGAGCATTGCAACGCACATTTCCTCGGACATTACACAAAAATATCAAGGACAAAAACATCAATCGTGCCATATTTGCAGAGTAAAACAAACATTGAGTGTGAAGAAGCATGATCATATATGCAGCTGCGATGCATTCATACAATCTCTGTGAAAAAGTGAGCACACTTCAGAGGGACCTTTAATCGTTTTTGTTGTTTTTCTGTGTTTCTTTTTTTTTTTGGGGGGGGGGGGGGGAGGGGGGGCGAAAGATTGTGAGAGCAACAAGGGCCGGGTTGATGTAAAATGCTTAAAGTGAACGTTAAAAAAAAATTGTCGCCACAAGGATTTTGTTTAAAAAGATGCTAAAATGTCCTTCCGAGAATGAAGCAGGCGCGGTTTTACAGAGCTACGGCCGCTTTTGCTTTTGCTATCTCTAGGCTTTCACAGTTGTGAATCACAATGGAAGACACGCACAGATCTCCACTCACTTTTGCAACGCTTTGGCTTCTAATTGCATGTGTTAAGGAGATTAGCACACACCTCGTGCAGCGCTCGCTCCATGGTGGCAGTTGTGATAACGTCGAACCAGTCCTACGGCGCGTCCAGATAAGGGCGCGTGTACCAACGCGAGAGTACAATAATCTACCGCAATCTGAGTTTGCGAAATCGCCATTGTCTGGTCCAGCTGCGGCGAAACATTCTGCCCGCTTATGGACTGAAGAAATTAGAATGCACTCAAAGCAAGGTAAAAAAAAAAAAAAATTGCGAGCAGAAGTAAATTTGATTTTTATTTCATTAAGTGGCTTACCACCCGCCTAAAACCAATATCTCTTCGGCAATCTACCTCCAAACATAACTAAACCATCGCCAACGGGACCAACCCTGACTATTTAACTCTGGCATTTGTTAGACAATCGAGGTCCCAAGATGACGTATGCTAAAGGCTGGGTTACTCTGCGACGTCGAACGCAGCAAACGCGGCGTAGCGGAGCGCACACGGATACTGATTGGTCGCAGATATCGAGTTCCTGCTCGCCGGTCAATGAAAGGCGCACGTTATGCGCTACGCTGCGTCGCTGCACTCAGCGTCGGAGCATAACAGAGCCTTAACCGTACTATTAGAATTGAAGCGCAACTCTGACACCTGCTTGGTGATTGGGGACCGAAGCGCCAGATGACCACCAAACGTTCACACATGAAGCCTAACTGTCACTTGTTACGCGATTGAGGCTCAGAGATGCCAGAAGACGGCTCTACTATCAGGAAATGAAGCCTAGCTTTGGCTTTTTTTTGGCGATATGGGCCCAAAGATGATAGGGGCTCATGCAGTAAGCCCAACTGTGGCACTTGTTTGGCGAGTTTGGGCCATACATAGCTGCCAGGCGACAGACAGACTTTCAGGAAGCGAAGCTTAACTTCGGCACTTGTCTGGCATTTTTGGGTCCAGAGATGCTTGATGGCAGCAGTGCCAGGTAGGAAGCCTTACTCTGGCACTCGTTTCGCGATTTTAGTCCCAAGAAGCTAGATGACAGCCAAACTACGAGGGAGTGAAGCCTAACTCTGGCACTTCTTTGGCGAATTAGGGCCAGAATACCCAGACTCTTGCCAAGGGAGGTCAGGTTTGGCTCTTCTTTGGCTTCTTCGAGCTTTTTAAGGCCCTGAACTTTCGGACAAAAGCCAAATTTTGGCCCAGAACGCTTTGCTACCTGAAATACGAATAAAAAGTCCAAATTAAAGTAATTGCCCCATACCCGCCGCTGTCACATGCACAAGTTAGGACATTCTACTTGATACTGTATTATTTTTTGGTCCGTCGGCAAGTTTGCTTTTGTGGCGCCAGTGCCGTTCACATATGTCCAGCAGAATACATTCACTTTGCACGCTACATTAATTTCTCGTTGCAGTGGTTGTGGTTTCTCCTCTTTGGCATTCTTTATGGCTTACGGCTTACAAAACGTTCTCTCGTAGCTCAACTCAGAACAGCCTGGAATACAAGCTCGCCGCTAGTCGGCAAGCACCTGCCAATATTCCGATCATAGGATTGGGTATATTAGCAGATATCGGAATATTGGAATACTGGCTTCGGGAACCGCCTTTGTAGCAGTCCCCGGTTCGAGTAAGATTCGACAAGTGCGCCACCTTACACATACAAATACTGAATATAAACATACACTGTAATGCTTCGCCTATTAACGAGATGTGGCAACGTAATCGGCTGCAAGCCAAATAATATTTGCGGCGCGCGAAACCATCATAGATTTCACATGGGCGTGGTAATGCATAAGTGAATCGAAGCTCACTCGAATGTAGAACCGCATGTGGATGCACGCCAGAAAGACGAGCGTCCACACGGTCAGGAAGCAAAGCAGCAGGTCCACGTTGAAGAGTCCTGAGCCCCCGTGCATTATGCGCCGACTGTAATCGATATTTATGATCTAAGCATCACTCGCGGTATCTGTATTCTCGACAATGTTACTGAAGTGTTAGTGAAAGACCTAAACGGTACTTCCTTCGGGCGCACTTCTGCCAAAATTATTATTTTGTTTCTAATGAAGGTAGGCTGTTTTGAGTCGTATATATTCATTATGTTCTTTATGAATCGATGTTAGATTAGGAGAAATAGAAGTATTTACACCTTGACAACATCATGTGGCTATACTTTTGGGCAAAGTATACTTTGCCCAAAAGTATGCTTTGCCCCAAATAAACCCAGTTATAACTGGGTTTATTTTTATATCAG